GTTTTTTGACTACAAACGAATGAACTTTTTTCACGCATTTTTCTATTTCAAGAATGAACTTTACTTCTCTGACTTTGCTATGTTTATTTGTTAATTAGTTTTTAGCTTTAACCACCCAACTCTAAATGAAAAATATATATACGGAATCGATGAGAGTTGCCTTACTTTGGAGCTTTGGAACTTTGTACTTATTGTTTTCTCGGAATCGTCTTGACGGTTTGGAAATTTCCGATAATTGCATGGCGAAGAAAGGGAGGTGAGACTTTTGTTGCATATTTTACGGCATACCTATCATCACAGAGAAAAAAAGAATTCTGTTGCTCTACGAGTTTCATAATCATTAGAAAGACTCTTAAAATTCTAAATAACAAAAAAAAAAAAACAATAAAAAATAAACAAATAAATAAGGCAACGTATCTATTTAATTTTTTTCGTTTTAATCATGTCACATGTGATTTTCTTATTTCATCTCAGATAAATTCTTGATCTTGTTGTTTATTTGTCATGCTAGGCTACAAAATTCTCAAGAATTTTCCTTCAGCTGTTACTAACAACTGACATCACAACTATGACAACTATCTCAAGTTGCTTATGACGGACCAGTTCAACTGGCACATTTCCACGCACGCATACTTACTTACATATGCGCTCATATAGTTGCCTGCTACTAGTAGTATACCTACAAAGTCAAGTAGAAAATTACGCTCTAATGCCATGCAATGCACGAATTTTACGTATTACAAGCACATACATATCTATATATATATATATATATATATATATAAATATGTGCATACGTGCATACGTAGAAATGAATTCTGCTTAAATAACTTTTATACTCGTTTAACTGAGCCGTGTATTGAATTCTGCTTACATTTTCGCATATACGTAGCAGCAGCAGTAGCAATGGTATTCATCCATATGAGAGAATAGCAAATGTGTAAACAAAAGTTAATTTTCTAAAAATATTTTTACCATATAATAACAGTAACAACAACAAAATAGCAGCGATACGTGATTGCAAGAAGAAGAAGGCAGGGCAGTTCATTTTCTTTACAAAAAAAAAAAAAAAATAAAAAATAAAAAAAAAAAAAGCAAGGAAAACACCACCGCCATGCTATAGTACGCGTATACTCCATAATATACATTTGAGTTCTTTTCTCTCGCATCGAGAACTGATTAAAATTACTAACGACACCCAGCAGCAACAAACAAAACACAACAACAATTTACGCACAAAGCTTTTCTACCTTTCCTTTGTTTTATATATATATATACATTTTTCTTCTTCTTTTTTTTTTTTTTTTTTGTTATTTTCAATTTCCAAAACATAGGTAGGTATACACCAAATTTAATATACAAGGTGTACGCAATAGCAAGTAATCTTGTGGCGACAGCTTTTCTGTATACGTGTATATATGTGTAGGGAATAAGTACTTTACATATTCACTATTAGCGTACGATGTATTAACTCCTTCATTTCATAGGTGACGTCTAATTTACTTGATAAATTTCGTTGATAAAGTTGATAAGTCGCGTCTTGGTGGATGTGATCATAGGACATTCCTTTGATAAGTTTCGTTTATTATTAGTAAAATAAGCATAAAATTCAATGAAGTGAAATCAAAGTGATATTTCACTTTGTAACACTTTGTTTTTCAAACTCAGCACTGTTTTCTCGCGATATGGTTTATATGTAGGTAAGCGGTGGAACGTTTCGATAAACTTTTTCAATGAAAATCCTTCGAGTTAACTATATGCAGCTGAATGCTTGCGTTTAGGTCAAGCGTATATTGAAATCGCGTCTCCCGAAAGCGTTCACAATTTGATATTTGTCTCTTTGCTTCGAAAAAGGGAAAAAGGCGATGGCCACAATCTCGTTGAGAGAACTTTCAGTTAAAAGAAAAAACGAAACGCCCACGTCTCCAATTGTCTTAAAGGAGTCTCTCTAGGGCCATGCAGCTGCGTTACCAGCCTTGCTGTAGGCTAGTCCGTTAATAAAGAAAGAATTCAGCGCTAAAATAATGGACTTCCTTATGATTTTCTTAATGTAACATCGGCGTAAATCCGATAATTTATGCACTTATCAAAGACTGACAATCATGAGACTTTGAAGTAAAATATCGTGAAAAGCATTCGAAAATCAGCAGTGCCTCTTCTTACACTCAACTATTTGGTTCGCCTCTTTACAGCCATTTAAATACCTCTCTCTACTCAATAATGCAAGGACTCGACAATTGCGCCATGGAATGAGATTGGGACAAGTTTTAGTTAAGATAAACTACTTTCTTTAGTTTCTCACTCTATTGCGTGCCCTGCTCGTCCTCGTAAAGCGAAAACAAATTGGAAACAAAGATTAACAAAGGCTTAAAAAGAGAGTATGAATGATAAGACAATGCTCTCCATGTTTTGCAGATTGACGGCGATAGGTCGGTAAATCATATCAGGGAAAAATTCTTATCTAAAGCAGCTCCATAAATAGTAGCGCTTTTCGCTTTATATTTCAAGTCATAATCTTTGCTGCTCCACCTCTAGTTGTAAATATTTAGATAGCAAATAGAATTTATTACTGTAGGAATAACCTCCAGAGTTACTTGTGGCTTATGTGTAGGCTCGATCTTTCAACTTTGACTATTATTACGATTGTTAGTCTATTCATCTCGTCAAGCAAACGCTATCGTAATATTAGCAACAAGGTTTCGAATAGGATCGAAACAGAATTGGACAAGAAGCACATGTCCACTTCTGCTTTCAAAAAGTGAGTGGAACCGATTACATATCAAAAGAAAAAAGTTTTACTTTTCCAATAAAAATCCCTCGCATTTAATAATAGTATGGCCTGAAAAGCTATGCCACGCGTATGGTGTAAATTGAACTACTCTTAGAATCAAATTAAATTTGAACAACCGATTGAGAGATTCGACTTAAGCCATATGAAATATTCTTTCTTCTTACGTTTTTTTCATCATTGTTTTGTTATTGTAAAATACCTTTGGGCTTTTTGTAGGGTTAAATAGCAACAAAAACAAAAACAACAGCAACAAATTAATTTATGGTAAATGCTGCACACACATGAAGTAGTTGAGAGCATAAGACTGGAAGCATACAAGTGTTTATAGTGCTTTAGTTTTCTTACATCGTTTTCTATAAAAGTTTCATATATGTCGACAACTCATTCTAAAAGCAGATAAAATTTTTATTCATTTCTTTTTTTTTTTTTTTTTTTTTTTTAATTTAAATTAATTTTGGGGGGAATTAAATAAATATATAGGATGAATTTTTTTCATAGCGCTGGTAAATTAAAAGCAATATAATAATAATTTTCCTGTGTAACATCCAAAATGAAGGTCCATTAGGAAGCCAATGACTTGCTGTAATTAGGTTAAGGTAAAACGACTACCTTACCTAAGGGGAAACCATTTGCACACTTTTTCGAATAATTTGGATTATTTAGCTATATCTTGACATTGTCCCCACGGCTTGTATATGTTTTAGTTGAAGAATTATCTTTAAGTCTGTGTAATGCTAATGGGGCCATGAAGAGTGAAACCAAAATTTTTAACAATTAGCAATTAAAATATGAGTAGAACTTTTAACTCTCGCTAAGAATAAATTTATTTACTTTTATTCCCGCGACTGTAGACAACAGCACGTAATCTTGTCCCGCTTTGACTTCTTATCTTCCCGAAGCGTACATAGCATCAACTCTTACACATCATATTTTCTACCCTTGACGACTTATTTCATGCCGTTGAACATGCCGTTATTTTGACTATCTCCTGGTGTTTAAATTTGAGCTAAGAAAGAACGTTCCCCTCCTCCGATTGAGAAAAACTCTTAGAAAGTAATAACGTTTTGACCAAAAAAACGATCTCTATATGTATAGAGAGAGAAAGAGGAAAGCAAGGCATGGTAGTTGATCGAGGAAGCCTTTCAAAATTTGCTAACAAAAAGAGAAAGTTGTAAGGAGTACTAAAGGGGTAATGCTCAGTCTGTGTGTAAGTAACTGACTTACCCGCTTTCTTATATTATTGATATTCATTTTAAAAGCATTATATCAGCTGACTTAGCCAGAGGTGCCTTGTTTGCTTCGCTCCTTAAGTGAAGTGAAGTACGAAGATAGAGAAAAGTAATGTAAGGGATGGTAATTTTTAAGGGGCGACAATAAAGTAATTTCTACTTTACACTACTGACGTGAAGGGCAATACATGGTAATGGGCTAAGGAGACATGAAATGAATTTGCTCGATATAGATTTGATATGAAGATATATTAGCTGCACTAAGTAAGTTCTTCTTCTATCAATCTATGTTATCCGACTATTTTATTCCACTGTTGTTTCCATAGCTTGTTCTTGTTTTTCAATCGACATCGAGGAGAGGAATCATCATTTTGTTCGATCTCCGCAGCGAAACGAATTACATGAAGAACTTCTCTTGATTAGAGAAATACAATAACAATAAGAAGAAGAAAATTTTTTTTGTTTTACTATAGGGTACACAGAACATGTTTTGAATTTTTATACAAATTGCTTTCTAGGTAGAACTTGACTTGATATAGATCGCTTGGTATTTTCATCCAGTTTAAAAAGTATTTGCCAATATATGCTATATGCAGGCTTTTAAGGATTCACAATATTCTTTCATATCATTACATCTCTACGTATAATGTTGATGATTTTATACCATTTAAAGTATGCGGTACGAGTTACATTTTTCTGGCTTCTGTATAAGCTCGATACGAAACGCAATCATTTTAAACACAACAGCAACAGCTCCAACAACAACAACAACAAGAACGAAGTACAACCAATAAATTATTGCTTTTGCTTATATATTTTACTCTTATGCACAATACATTATTATACTATACACTACTACTACACATATTACTTAACTAAATATGTATGCTTAACTTATACTTGATTTAATATTATAGCGATGGTTGACTACATTTTCCCTTTTGGTTTTTGTTTTTGATTTTCATCTTTCATCTCTCTAGAGCACACCAGTCGGTACGACAATATTTCGTAATATACAAGCATTGGATAAGGATGCCGGTGTTAATGGCCTCGTCGAGTACTTTATTGTTGAGGGCTCAACGAATACCACAGAAGACGAGAAGATGACAATTGCTGATGGTTATGGCACATTTGCTATATCATTTCCCCATCAAGGCCAGGTGAGATACGTACATATAATAAATGATTTCCATGACGAAAGTTGTTTATGTTAGTCGTTGTACTTTATAATAATGCCACAAACGTAA